ATTGCTGGAGCTTCCTTTTGATACTTTTTTTGGACGCGGGCAGCCGCTGGCAGGCAACAAGACTTTATTTCAGAGGCCGTTGAACTAATGTCAAATTGGGGGTGAAGTTTCTGAAGTACTAGGTTGTTTGTGGGTTTGGTTGTAGGCAGCTTTTACACAGGAGACATGCAAGAAAACAAGAGCTTGGGGAAGCTGGACATTCTTGATTTTGGGAAGCAGGCCCAAATCCAACAACAAAGCCCGAAGCTTCATAGGTAGTTACACTGGGCTAGTTGTATATTTGCAGGGGTCAGACAACAAGACTTTATTGTAGGGGCCCCTGAAATAAAGTCTTGGGCTCAAGGGGGGCCTGAAGTACTACCCACCCCCCTTTGCAGGATTGATTGCGGGCAGCTTTTAAACAAGAGACATGTAAGAAACCATGACTTCTTGGGCAGCTGGACAGTTTGATTTTGGGCAGCTGAAGAACAAGGTACCAAAGATCTAAGGACCAGGTGTTGGCTTGGCTACCTCTCCTCTTCTTTCTCTGTTTGTTCCATTTTGTCATGTTCCTTATACTTTTCGTGCAGAAAATTTGGGCGGGGGTGGCGGGTGCTTGTCTTTATTCCAGGTGTTTTTTTGGGGGGGCCACCCGTTTGTCTTTATTCCAGGTGCAATGTTTAATCCTAGGTGGACGTTACGGAACGACCATTCAATTGCTAGTGACGGCAATTGTTCGCAGAATGCTGTAGCATGCCTTGCAAGCTTGCCTGTCATCATCTAGATACTGGACCCTTTGGGAGGGTCTTGGGGAAGTTTAGCGCTGTGAGCAAAGCTTAAAAGCAATATGCTTGCTTCACGGCATCAACTTTAAGGGCAACTGGTACATGTTGCGCTGAGTCGCAGTAGCCAGAGAACCACAGTTTAAGCAACATGTGAACTTGATCATCTAGGAGGCATGGTGAAAACTGAACATACCCGAATTTGCAAAGTATTGTATATCATGCTTAATTAAGATGTTTCTTGTGTTGTTTGTAGATTGAAGCACCATTGGGCACATGGCCCAAGGGCACAGAACTGTGGACAAATGCGGAATCACTCCCATCGCGCTGCTACAAAATCTGCGAAAGCTATCCTTCTCAATTTGTTGTGAGAATATTTGTTCATTGAAATTGTACCTTCTTGGACTCTACAGTCGTGAAAGCAGAGTGACATTACATGAACATGCGGTGAACTGCGCATGACACACTGTTTCAAGCCATTAGAAGACCGGGTTTTGCCATGAAAAACCGTTTTTGATGTGTGCCGCGCAAAGCACACCGCACACACTAGAAGAAACAACTCGAAATGTCTAACTCCTGTTTAAGTGATGTTGGTTCTTTGCATTGTCGCAGCGCTCTCCTAAACATCAGTTTGAGTTGTGGGGCACCAAGCCACCTGCTCGCTTCCAAAGGAAACACCTGACTTGGATGCTTTGCGACTCAGTGATCGGCTCCAATGCTAAGCAGCACGCAACGGGGCAGCCTTCTCAACTTGTGCAACTCACAAATGTTTGTCTCACACATAAACGCAAGGCTAATAACGCAGCTTGTGTTTTCCCTTGTGTTGCGTTGGCATTCAAGCTGTTTGGGCCAAGGTCAAATTATGTTTGATGATTTATTTCATGCCAACATCAAAGGCATTGAGCAGCTGAGCTGAACCAGGAGGTTTTACGTTGGGTGATAGCAAGGTCCGCGCCGCTGCTTGAATTGGCACATGCATCTTTCAAGCAAGCCCTGCACAGTGAACAGCAACGCCCCAAAGAACACCGCTTATCGTGACAACACCGTTAAACAAAGCCGCTGATGGACTTTCAGGGCTTTACTTGGCACAGAACCAAAAACAGGTGTTTTGTTCAAGAAAAGGTGTTTCGACAAAGAATGCCATTCTTTACATTTTGCCCCAAAAAATTGGGGTGGTTTGAGACTCCAGGCAGTTGCTTGACCGCAGTCCTTTTGGGCCTCAGCTCCCGCGGGTTGGGCGCTTTTGGGTCCCCAACAGCGAATCGCTTTTCCAGGTCCGAAGGAACAAGCGGAGGCGCCAAAGCGGGTTGTGGGTTCAAGGGGTTGGTTCCCACTTCTGTGATACAAGGGAATCTCCCCCTGAGAAGATTAGTCTTTGGAAAGTTTTTGTTGTGTCGCAGAAGTGGTCGTTTCCCGCAACCCTGCCAAAGCCAGAAAAAGGCTTCAGAGAAAGTCACAGGACACCCCGGAGCACATTCATGGTGAGTTGTTTGTGGATTAGCATTCCGCAGCAAGTTTTCGACATCCTGCGAGCCCATGGCGACAGACGTGAGAGATCTCACGGATGTCGAGGAAATGGATGTGGCGGATTTGTCGGATGTCATGGACGAGGACATTGATCTGAGTGTGACAGATCTGAGGGATGTCATGGGCAGGGACCTGCCGCATGTCGCGGATCTGATCAATGGGGACGAATGCAGAGAAGCTGGCATCTCATGGCTGTCCGAAACTGAAAGCTCCACAAGCCCTGTGGGCAAGACCGCCAGCATGACCAGCAATGTGAGCCTGAGTTTGAGATTGAAGCCCGAGCTCTTGCGGGGTACGCCACTGTCTGCGGCTCTAAGTGGGTTTTGCCAACATTGGGCCGGATTGAGCTGTGGACCCGAACGGGGCGCTTTGTTCAACTTGGGCAGGGCTGTTCTGTCTATCGACGTCTTCCTGAGCCACGACTGGGCGACGTCACGCTGGATGAAGCTATTGGCCCTTGTGCTCTACTTCAACTCCCGCGCTGCGGCTATAGCATCCTTGCTCTGGAGCATCGCGCTTGGTGTGGCCAAGACGCAACTGGGGACCATATTGCAAGGGGAGCTCTGGACCTTTTCTTGCTACCCGGTTTTTCTGGTCGTCCTGTTCTTCTGGCAGAGGATCAGGAGCTGTTTTGTCTCACCTTGGATGGTGTTCCTGGACAAGCTCTGCATCCATCAAGAGAACGATGAGCTGAAACAGCTGGGAATATTGGGCCTTGGAGCCTTCGTCCGTCGATCCAACAGGCTTCTCATGTTGTGGTCCAAGAGAACCTTCGGCCGCTTGTGGTGTGCCTATGAGGTCGCATGCTTTCTGAATTATCGGCCAATGGAGCAGCTAGAAATTCTTCCCGTCACAGTCGCTGCCATCCTTTTCTTGATGTCGACTCTGTGGCACGTGATTATTTTCAGCTTCGTCTTGGCGCGGGAGGCTCTTGCCGGCGACTCCCACTCAGACCTCATCTTTTTGTGTGCAGTGTATACTCCCTGCGTGTCCCTGGTAATACCTCTTGTGAACTACTATGGTCTAGGCCTGATGGATGACTTGGACCAGCTACCCCAGCAATTGGAAAGCTTTCAAATACAAGCCTGTGAATGTTTCTGTTGCAGCAACAGTCACAAACATCCAGACTCCGGCGAAGAAATGATCTGTGACCGTCAACTGGTCTATGAGATGCTCGCCAACCTCTATTCCGTGCAAAAAATGCAAGGAGACCCGCTGGACAGTTTCAACAAGCGCATCCAGGAGGAGTTGAGGCCTCAGATACTTCGCCAACTGCGTCTCAATTTGGGCCTCAAGTACATGGCGAGCTTAGTGTTGGTGAGCAACTTGCCGGAGCTGTCAACTGTGATTTGGGACATCAGCCGCGGCCCTGCGTTGCCAATGTCCGGTTTTGACTATGCCGCGTGGTGTGCGCGGCTGGTCATACACTGGTTGCACTTATTCTTGGTGATGGTCTTCTCCCTGACGTTCTCGAGGCACTTGTGGAAGTTGCGGAACATCCCGTTCTTCAGGAGCAAGCTGCTTTGCTCGATTTGTTTGGCGCCAATCCAGTGCATCGTGGTGGGAGTTTTGGAGGCAGGTATGGAGCTGGCACTGGCGAAAACCAGCGAGACCAGTTTGCTGCCGCTTTTGCCTTTCCTGATTGAACTGACGCTGAACATTTTCTTGCATTATTTATGAGCACAAGCCAAGAGGCTGTGCTGAGCCATGCTTGGGAGCCAGGATGTTTCTTGGCACCCAGAAGCGGTTTCACACCTGTCCGTGAGCACAGCGTGTGTTTGACCCACGCATTTTTTTCTTTTCGGGCAAGAGTCGTGCTATCGGCTTTCGTTTCCTCGGCAACGGAGTTGCCTGGCCTCAGTGGCAGTTTCACCGCGTGAGCACAAGCCAAGAGTGTGTGTTTCCATGCATGATGCTAGATATGTAGTCGGAGCAACAATCGAAGAATTGGTCTCGGAGAACTGAGTTTCCTGGAGCAGTGTCACTCAACCCGGCGATATTTACTACGCTGCTGGAGAAGTCGCGCTAGCGCTCAAAAAATGCGCGCAGGCGGTGCCCAGAGCCACAATGAAAGCTAGGTACGTCATAGGGGACGGTGCCAGACACGGACAGGTGCGACAGATCATGTTAATACGCTGTAGTTGAACGACTCAGCTAGCTTCTGAGGCTGAAATGCTTTTCCCACAGTCAGCGGATGGAGCTGACGGTTGTGAAACGGCCAACTTGCCTCGCCTTTGAACCACGCTTGTGATGAACCTACTTGCTATAGAATTCAAGTCAACCAAGTTTTTGGTCGTGGCTGCCAAAATGAGTTACCCATGAGAAGGGATGGGGAGTTTTGACCATTTCTATTCAGACCTATCTTGCACCCAGTGCAAAGCTGAGGCATCACCACGCCTTCAAAGGAGGGGCTTATTGTTGGGCCCTTTTGGGGGCCAAAGACTCCAAGGCAGCCTTGAGGGAGAACGGCAAGGCAAGCACGCCGCCCCAACCACATCTGAGGTTCAGCCGTCGAATCCCTGTGGGGCACCAGGGTCACCAGGTTTGACGGCAGCTCTGCGAGCTGCGCAGCCCTTCTTTCCGCCATTTGCCCACTCAGCTTTTTTTTTGCACGTCGGTTTTTTTTCTTCTTCCTCCAACTCGGGGCGCCGGCAAAACAAATTGAGCCCCGCCCAAACTGGCCCCACACGTCGCGAAAAAAAAACTCCGCAGGCCATGGTCTCCTTTTCGGAGGCCAACGAATCTGCGAAGCCCTCAGAGGGTCCACCGGACTTCCGAAGCGCGCGCTGGAGCTTTGACTAGGTCCCAGCTAGTGCCCTTCTCTCCCCTTTTTGGGGGGAGGGTTCCCGTACCAAAATAGACTACAGAAAAAAAAGGGTACCGTTATTCTAACCTCTCTACTGGAGGACCTAGTTGAGGTTGAAAACAAAAGGGCCGACAAAAGCAGAAGTGATGCCAGAGTTTCTCATTGTCCTGTTTGAGGAAAGGGCTGCATGCAGGTTGGCGGGCACCTCATTGCCCCCAATTTCTCCAGGCAGCCAAGTGGATGATGGCTTACCGTCCTTCCCCTAAAACGCTACATCGGGCGATCTGAAGGCCAAGATGACGGAGGCGGAGCTGCAGACCACTTGGAAGATGCTGGAGCAGGATCGATCGATGCTTGTCCATTTTTTGCCAGTGCTATGCACAGCCCCCGTTTTGCTGAAGCTGTGACACTGTTTTATCAGTTTTTGCTTTGGGTGTTCCATAGTGAACCTTCTCGTGGGTAGAAACATCCGGCATTCGTCGAAATCAGCGAGATCAATCAAGTGACGTCAAGTGAGGCATCCTCTCCATGTCAAACAGGAGTGTACTTGACCAACAAACAGTTCCTTTGGAGTATCCCCACAGCGCTATGAAAGGACCCCTCACCCGTCGATAATTTTTCGTTTGGGCTTCCCGTAAGAAAAACGACAGAAGGGATCACTTATTCCGGGCTGCTTACAAGATGCAAAAAAGTCATTTAAATAATAACCTTGTCCTCCACTCAAAAAAGAAGCATATTTGTTTTGGGGTGGGAGGGGGGTGAGTGTAATGCACATGTGGATAAGAATCACTTGCACCAGCAGCTGTGGAGAATCCGAATCTTGTAAATCAGCTTGCGGTTTCTCAAACAAATATCCTTGGGTGGTTTCCTCTCTCGGCTTCTCTTCAAAAAGCATACAAGAAGGGTACCCCAAAAAAAGAAAACGAGACCGTGCACCTGCCCGTTTGGTCTTTGGATGAAGCCTTTCAAGGGCGCCCGCTGGTGTTTCCGATGTTCATCGAACTGCGGGGAGGTGCGGTGCATGATCGACGGCGCCAAGCAGCGGGACCCGCACCGAGTGGCGCTGTGCTCTGACAAGACGCATTTCAGCGCCCCTTGACTTGACATGCGGGGGTTTTCCTTCCGGACAACGGGGGAAAACAACAGCACTGGTGGTTCTCCGTTGGGTTTCCTTCAACTTCGTCCCCCAGTAGTCAGCAATGCCCTTTTACCCTTTTGTGGGGGAGGGTTCCCTACTAAAACAGGCTACAGAAAAAAAGTTGGTACCCTTACCCATTCTAACCTCTCTACTGGAGGACCCAGTCAATTTTAAAGAGAGCTGGACGAGAGGGGTCTGAGAACAGTGAAATCTGACCAGTGCATTTCAAACATCCAGAGCTATCATAGAGCAGTTGGGTCCCGGCTGCTCATTCAAGCCAAGCCAGAGTAGCTAAGGCAAGAGAAGCTTGCTGTTTCTGCTAATCTGCAAGCCCCTTAAAAAGAGTGAACAAAGACTGTAAAACCCCATTGACATGCTGGTTCCATTCAATTTCATTCCAATATGTTTGCAAGTGTTACGCTGCCAGGCTTCACATGTAAATGGGATTTCGATCAGGATTCAATTCAGTTAAGTTGAATTAGATTCAATCAGCACTTTCCTTGCAAGTAGGATTTCAATTATATAATATAATTTGAACTGTGAATTGAAATTAGATGTCAATTGGGATATTGCCCACATATTAGTTAAGACTTGTCCAAGTACGAGTTCAATTATAACGTGATGATATTTTTCTTTGCATATTGTAAGCAGGAATTCCTTCCATGACCCGAGTTAGCTGAGTTCCGTCTGTTTGGTTTCCCAACCATTGTCAACCCGAGTCCCTTTTCTAGCAGGGTCACTGGCACTGCTGGGTTCATTAAAGTCGCAGGTGCCAACCAATATCCGGTTAAATTCTGATTTACGCAGAAACCGCGCCCAAATATAATTTGGTTAATCTCAGAAATTCCGATCCCATTTCAATGCCCCAACAGATTCTGGGCAGAGACACAGCAATTTTAACCCCTCGGGCGTGTGTGGGAGTGTGTTTAAGGTGGCCCCGCAAACGGGTGGTCTCCTTATGGTTTCCCTTTAATTAAAACAATCCATCAGAAACACCACCTATGTACTTGTGTGTATGTGTGTGTGTGTTCAATGCCTCCGTTTTGCTCAACATTCGGAGCAGCTGTTGTTTATCCTCTCCGGCGCGAGGTCTTTGAAGATGTTTGGTGACTTCGCAGGGCTTCGCCAAAACCAAACGACCCTGATGGGAAGGATTTTTGACGCCTCTTCCAGGCGCCCTGATCCAGAGCCTTCAGCTGGGTTTTGGGAATCTGCGTGTGCGTTTTGAGGCGAGCGTTTCTTTGCAAGAGTTGGTTGTAAAAGGCGGGCCAGTGTGAAACTCGATTCTTTGTTGTTGTTTCATGTTTTTTCCCGGTGGGTGGTTGTATTTTGCATGTGTTTAAAACAATCCACCGCCAGACAAACCGAAAAAGCAGGCCTTCTGTGGGGGTTTCAATTACGTATTTTCCCCATGCGAGCGCTTTGGGCTTCGGGTGCGTTGAGGTGGCCCACCTCACGCTGAACTACACGGGGACTCCGCCCATGGCGCCGTGCCAGGCGTTGTCGGAGAGCCCGGGGGGAGCGGAGTACATGCAGGAGACGGGGACGGGTCGGTTCCAGGTCGGTTCCAGGTCTCACTTCTTGAGTTTTTTTTTTTGGGGGGGGGTGTCTTCTTTAAAGAAGAAAATACCGTTTTAGTGGCGAACAAAAAGTTCGGACTCTTTTGGCCAATCAGGAAGTAAATCCCCCGTTGATTCTGATTGGCAGGTGTCCTTTGATGTTAGTGGAGATTCCATCACTTTTGGCGAACACCTCCATTGCCAGGACGGGTTTCTGAAGCAACCGCCAGAGGCTCCCTTTTAAAGAAACAACCGTTTTCAGTACTGCTCAGTCAGGTTCCATGCTCGCTGGTGGACAGGAGGGTATTTGTCGATACCCCACACCTGCAGTGGCTTGGTCGTTCGGAGAGTGTCTTTCCTTTGTCTGAACCAAATATCAAAATGGGAACGTCCCAAACCGGCGTTGTTCCTTTTTGTTTCCGTTTCAGCCCGCAAAGGGTAATGGGAGCCCCAGATTAACAAATCCATCCTTCTGTATCTACACAACAAAGGGGTGTAAACCGTTTACCGGGGTTTCCACTACCAGTACTGTCTGAATTTACCCTACCAGTCCCCAGTTTTTGTGGGAATCTTGGAGCTTGTCCACTCTTTTCCAAATGGAGAAGTCAACTCAGGAGATGGTGGCCGAACCTGTCAACACGCCGGGGAGTCCCAACCCAAAACGGTTTCATTTTCCCTTTGCGTTTGCCTTTGAACCAAGCTGAGATCGGGCACCCTCAACAAGGACAAAGGCCTCAAAGCCATGGGGCCCTGGGCCTTTGCCATGGGCGGGGAGGGGGGGGAGGAAGGTTTAGTACCATTTGCTTAAGAGTATATGTTTGATCATTTTCCCCTGTTGGTTTGAGGGGAATCTATCACTACTAGAAACATCCTTTTTCCAGGGTGCTTAAGCAAATGACAGTTTAGTACCATAGTTGTTGGTCTTTTGCTGAAGTGCTGACGGTAGAACAGGTTGAAATCCGTGGAGATCGATGTCGTCGTTCCGTGTTCCGACCGCCGACCGCCACCTCGACCCCCGCATTTGTCGGGTTCTTCAAAGGATAGCTGGGTTCGAGCCGAATCCCTGAACGCGTGGTGTTTGGCTGCATCCTTCCAGGAACCCTGTTCCCCAAATCAGGCCTTACCTATGGCAGGGTCGCCTCTAAGCCGCAACGCTCAGGGAGTTTGACAGGTTCCGGGCTCAGACATGGGGCGGTCACGGCTTTCCCAACCTGTAATCCGTGGCAGGACGCCAGCCAACACAACAAGGGAACCCTGCAGAGTTTGCCTTCCTCCCGCCCCGCTCACAGCGAACCCTCTCTGTTTTCCAACAACGGATGAAACAAATCTGCTGGGGGGATGGACCCAGATTTGAATGTTGGCTGAGAGCCTGCCAACCAGTGCCCGGCGCGGACGTCCATCCACAGCCGTAACTGGGGGCCTTTGGAGGAAGCGACCCGGATCTGTGGGCGTTCCGAGCATCCGGGAAACAGCAGTTCTTTGCCCTTTTCTTTACCAGAGGTTACAGGGGAGTTCCCCCTCACCCCAACCTCCTCCCCCGGTTTTTCAGAAGAAAAGGAGAGCCGCATCCCAGCCTTACAGGGTTCCAGTGTGAGGTAGGCCCAATGGTAGCCAGTCTCGCGTGAGGAGCTTTACGGGCACTTGCCCGAGCCGCTCGGGAAGCATAGAGTTTGAGGAATCTGTCACATGTTGACCGCGATCTATATCCCAAAGGCGGCCACATTTCATTTCGCAAGTCCTTTCGGCCAGGTGTGCTACCGAGCCACGAAGCCCCAATGAACACCAAAATCACTCAGCAGTTGTTCAGTAGTTTCCACTCGAACTAGCCCCTGCTTGTTTGCAGACAGTGGCAGACAGGCTGCTTTCTTGAGGCTACCATATTCAAGTGGCATCAAAGGAAAACCAACAGGAGCACCGGCCCCTTGTTTATTGGTCGGACAGGTTTGTTTGTCCGGGGTCTCATTGTCTGGCTGAGTTGGACTTGTAGCAAGGCCCATATTATCATAGTAGAAACTTGGAGCCAGGAAGTCTAGCAAATTGTGTCGTACTACGGGCAGGTGCCAGGACGTTTTGCAATACTACTTTAAAAGGGGCAGTACTACTTTTGAGCTGTTTATCTAAATCTAGGTCACATCTTGGAAATGCATCCCGCTACAAAAATCAATTCAAAGGTAAAATTGAACCTTTTGAAGAGTACTGCCAAGCGTCCTGGAATTTGACTGACTGCAATGCAAAACCATTTCAAAAGTAGAATTGCCAGACTTCCTGAAACCTGACCGGGACTATGCGTTGTAATAATAAGACTACTTTAAACAGGGGGATACATTTTTGAATTGCTTTTGTATTTCCAAGAAGTAACCCAAATCTGGAAACTTGGTATGGTTTATTTAGCGCAATTGACTTTGTGGGTGGTACCCGTATTCGGTTGTCTTTGTATGTTTGTTTTCAACATGCTTGACAAGCAGAAATCCGGTATTGATATCCGGTTGTCATGAGAAAGGGAAGCTGGCAGTAGCACCAAAGTTTGGAGGCAACACCCTTAGCTTTGTTTGGGGTATGTTTATTTAGTGCAAATGAGCTCATGGGGGAGTTCCCTGGGCCGATATTTTTTTCTTTTTTGTCTGGACTGAGTCCAAAAATTGGGGTTGTGCATGGCCAAACCGATATATTGGCAAAATAGCTTAACTTTATTTGAGAGCATTTAAATGTTCTGTTTGGGGGGGTGATTAGCTTTATTCACTGGGTTTCTACAAGTTTTTTGAAGAACAATTCTAGAAGGGGGCACCTCGCAGTAGTTCACCAGGGATTTACCAATCAGGGGACTACAAATTAGGCCCAATTCTGCCATACAATAGGCATTCACGCCTGCGAGCCAATTCAGCCAGCCAGTAGTAGATTAGTAGCACTAGTAAGCCTAGCAGCAGTAAGAGAAGTAGCAGGAGCAGTAGCGGTGGTGGGAGTAGTAGTAGCAGCAGTAGCAGTAGCCGTTGTTTTTGTCGTCGTTGTGGACTCTCTTGGCACTCGCAACTTTCAATCTGTCGCATTCGAAATATCTCGAGGCAGGCGCCGGCAGCGCCGTGCCAAGCGGCGTGCTGCTTAAAGATCTGAGCGCCAGCGAAAAGGAGCGGCGAGATGGGCCCAGTCACGTAGGGGGTCCCTGGAAGGCCACAAGTGGCTTTCTTCGCTCCTTCAGGGGGGGATACCTTTAAGTACCAAAAAGATCACCGCCTTCACATGGAAATCCATTTGGGGTCGGGCTTACCACTGCGCTTTTGCGCGATTTGTTCCACTCGGAGTTTATCATATCCGGTTGCTGGCTTGCTGTTTGCCACTGATTGGAGGGTAAAACCAGCTCATGACAGAAAGGTGTTTCTTGTTTACTTGAAGATCCCTTACTCCAGTTGTTGCAGCTGTCTCAGATCTTGGAAGCCTAGGTCCTAGGCTTTCGGCTGAACTAAGTTGCTTGAACATGCCAGCCGGGGCCAGTCAAAACCAGCGGGAATGTCCCCTATAAACCTTTTCTTGTGGTTTCCTTTAAGGGGGCCCCTGGGTTCATTACACTATGGACCATTCCCTACGGAGCACCAGCAAGATGATGTTTGCTGTTTTCGAGCGCATGGTTTATGGGTCATTTGATTTTGGGGCTCGCTGAAGGTTGGCCTGCAAAAAATTAGGGGGTTTGCCTGCAAAGGGTTGCCCACCAACCAAAGCGGGAGACAAGGTCCAGGAGAGCCTAGCGCTTTGGGGGTAATTTGTTGAAGGGTTTTTCGGAGCTCACCACATGCTTCCATTTGCTTAAGAATACTTGTTATGTTCCCTTGTTGGTTTTAAAAGGAATCTATCACCACTGGAAATAGTCTTTATTTGTTTCCGGGTTTCTTGGTAAGTTAGAGTACTTTGCTCACGTCACTTGCCGCGGGCCGTTGCCCCTGTGCCTCAAGGGGGGGACATTGCGGCCAACAGCTCAGAAATCAGATGAGACGGGGAACAGCGGGAACAGGCTGCGAGGGGCAATGATTCCTCAAAGGGTGGTTTGCCCTGAGTGTAACAAGCTTCAATGAATGACGAGATGGCCAACATGAGTGGTTTACTCATGAGCTTAGCTGGACAACCTCGCATTTACAAGGGCGAGACGCTACGCAGAGCGGGGCCTATGAGCGACAGAGACGTGACAAGCTCGACCGGTTCGCTCATGGCATGACGCAGGCCGTGTTTTGGGGCGGTGGGGCAATGGGCAGAGCGTGTGCGGAGCAATGGCAGCGAATTTGTATTTCATAGTAGGCTACAATTGGTTGAAAGCAGATATCGTTTTTTGTTTTTTTGTCGAGTCATCCCTTTTACTTTCCCACATAAAAATTGCATTTCGCCAACACATATGTACCCAGAATTGGGGCAAGGCAATGCCAACCCACTCCTCGCCTTTCCCATCCTAACAGGGATAAGGGACTCCTTTCTGAACCAGCAGTAGTGCAATGGCAAACGCCCGAGTCAATACACACATGTTTGCCCTCCCCTGAGTTTCTGCTCGGACCTGAATCTTTGCTTTTTTCTCTTTTTTTGGGGGGAAGACCACTTTAGTCGTACAACAAAGAGTTGACTGCAGAAGTGAGATGTTTGTATAACTTTGTTAGGTTTTAGTATACGCAAGCTGCTTTTGCTGCCTCGGAGCCCATCCTGCGTGAACCTGCTTGTTGGAGGACCGGTTGAGCCACGGGCGCTACCGGGTTCGACATGTGGCGCTTGTCTGGAACAGATGGATCGGCAGTGCCTTGCTAACCCGATACGCGCATTGGAGAAACCTTAAAGGTTCTTTTGTTTTTCTGCAGGTACCCTGAAATACCTTTTAAAGTTTGGCTCAAGGTAAATCATTGACAACCGTCTTTTATTTGTTTGGGGGGGGGGTGGGTGGGGTGGGGGGGCCGCTATTTGGACACACTCACATGTCGCGCAAAAGCAATGCAGACGTTCAAGCGATTCTTTTCTGATGCAATTGAACGCATTGAAGCACCTGACCCAAGGCCAGATACATGGATTGCCTAATGCTTTTCACGTGCCTTCTCATGGACGGCCCGTTTCTTGCATGACACACCTTTGGAAACGGAAAACATGCATTCAAGGCTACAATGCAGCCCCCCAATGCAGCCATTCAATGCATCCCAAGGCAGCCAGATTCTGTGCTTTCACCATATATGCTGCGGCAGCAACAGTTCACAAAGTTCAGTTTTCGCGATGCAACCCGCTTGTTCTCGACGCCACAACATCACCCAGCACTCGCATGGCTTGCGGCGCGTGGCGCCGCAAGCGGCGGGGTCATGGCGCTGAGAAGTGCAGCCCTCGCACCTAGGCTTTCAACGGGCCAGGGGCCGTGGCCCTTGACTTCCATTTGCAGCAAGTCGTTTGGTTTATGTTTCCCCTGCTTTGAAAGGGAATCGATTTCACTATTGCAAATAGTGGTTCATTTTTTCCAGGGGACGAAACAGCAAATGGAGGCCTATTTAATTTCACGGTTGGCATGTTTGGTTTAAGGCTTTTGTTGGGTGTTGTTCATTATTTTTAGAGTGGGGCTGCAATGAACACAGTTTTTTGCTACCATACCAAGGGTTGTAAAGTTAAGTCCTGGTTGAACATTGGCCAAGAAAGGCGATTCTTATAATCATAATCGCTTGGGTTTCGAAATGATTGGCCCCCAACTTTGTTTCTCAATCGGGATGGAGGGATTTCTTGTGGCAAAGGATTGGCCAAACCATTTTGAACAGGCATGGGCTTGCACAAAACACTTGGGGCTAATGGTCAGCCGAAAATGAAATGAATCCAGTCTGTTCTCTACCATCGTCACTAGTTGCAACTGTAATTGGACTTGAGGGTGCCGAAATGCCCTTGCACTTCTGTTGAACATGGCATCGGCATCCGTCTTACCAATGGCTTCCGTTGGGCGAACAGGGGCCGGAAGGTTTGCTTTGCTTTGAGCATCCCAGCTGTGAAAGCCCCTTGCTTGCTGTCCTTCGAGTGAGCCAATGGGCCCGGATTGGATTGAAAGTTTATGGATCGAGGCAGTGCGAAAGCCCGGGCATTGGGGCAACACGCGAAAGCCCCCGGACCAAAATTCTGGTTCAATCTGAGGCCAAGACCAGCTTTTTAGGGGCCCTTCAATTCTGAATCCGTCCGGAAAAAGGCGCCCTTTTTTTTCCAGCTGGATAGGTATGTCTGGTGCTGGGCATGTGCAGGCTGGGGCCGGCTCGGTCGAGCGTTGAGCTTCTTTGATCTTTTTGGTTGCCAGGTTGGTGGGCATCCCTTGCTTGACAATTCCGGACGTTCAGTTTCCTTTTTTTTGATTCGAAGCGGTCGCTTATGCCAAAATGAGTGTCTCTAAAGCAAAACGGCAGCCCCAAAGCTTCAAACCTCCGGCCGAGCTTCGCGCAGGTGGCGCTGGAGCTTCGCTGCGCCGAAGGCGGAAGTTTCCAAGGCGGCAATGCCTGGCTTGAGGGAATGTTGGGAGGGTGGTTTCAACGAAGCAAGCATAGCGCGCCTTGAAGCGGGAGCTTTTCCTTTTGGTGCGAGCTTTGCGCTGCCAAACAAATCCAGCAAGGTGTTGGCATTCCCTCCACCAAATGCTGAAGATGTTGAATGTTGATCGCAAAAACATATGGTAGAGCCCTGTGGCAGTTATCTTAGTAGTGTTCGGGGTCAGCAGTTGATTTGTGATTGATTCTCTTGATTCCTGCCGGTCATGATGCATGTGGGGGTCTCTTAACTGATACCACGATTTGCTGCCTTTCTTTGTGTTGGCGACATGGTTTGGTCCCTGAAGCTTCGTGGCTCGCGAAATTGAAACCACGGTGGGCCCACCACTGACAGGCAAGTGTTTCTTGAAGGACGGCCTTCGAATTCAACCAGGTTCCCCTGAAAGGCTACCAACAGCGAACTGGTCCCCGGAAAAAGGGGCATCCAAGCCGTCCGAACTCGCAAAGAACCAATATTCTTGCAGGAGTTCTTGGGAGCCGTGAAGCCATTGAACGGTCCACACCGGTTCTGCGGATCCCTGGTTTGCCAGATCTCCATTTAATACAACACATGTTCCCCTTTGTTTTGGGAAAACATACAATGATGGACCTCCCGCCCCACCTCCCCCCTCTTAAGGTAGGGAATATTTTAAAACACCCGCTGTTATGGGAAGCTATTGCAATAGACCACAAGGAAGGGATACATAGGGGGTATACCCTAAAAGGTAGGGACTATGTGTGCGCAGGTTACGGGTCCAATGACAAGATCCCTGCAATTTCTTGGCCGCCTTCCTTGACATGGTTTTTGGAACGTTGAGTTCAGCGATAAAACGAATTTGGGTATGGGTCAAAATCAAACCAGGGGACCGCAGATTTTAGTCCATGTTTCCATGTACCAGGGTTCCAGTTTGGGTACAATTTTTTCACCCACCATTTGGCCTTTCGGGGCCAATCCGCTCAGTGAGTTTCCCAGTCATCCAACTCCTCAGTGCCCGACTGAAGGCGCAGAAACGGAAGCGCTACGCGCCCCGCAGCACGGAGGAGCGCCTGCTCTGGGCGCTCGGCAGCCTGGACGCGAGAAGAAAAGTAGAGATGTCGGCCGCGTTGGTTGGTTGGTGGTTGGTTGGTTCCCACAGGACAAGCTTGCGGACAAAGCAAAACAGCAGCGGGGCGTTTAATGGCCCATGATTTGTTGATTTTCCCAAAGTACCAAAGTTCCAAAAGACCGGAATTCAAGCCCACACTGCGAGAAATTTGCCAGGCTGGTGTTATGACACTTTGGTACAGGTTGTCTTGCCCAATCCGGTAGGGGATGAATTGACCGAACGACCGACAACAATTATACCCACATCATGTATGGTTCGCCCAGAACCACTCTGCTCCGCTTTCCGGCTTCGGTTTCGGCTTCAGGGTTTTAACAGGGTTCAGGTTTAGGGTTTTCAAAACTCGCCCTCAAAACCCTCAGTTTAGGGTTTTAGGTCCATGGGTTTCACTTGTCCCCAACTCCCTCAGTTTAGGGTTTAGGTTTCCGGTTTTCAAGGTCAAGGTAGTTTGCCCTCATACTTCGGTTTAGGGCTTAGGTTTAGGGTTTCAAGGTGTAGGCTCAGTTTTTTGCTGGGGTTTCAGGTCTCCGCCTACAGTGTGGCGGGGTGCTTGAAGACCGCTGCTCATCAGTCAGCCACGGAATTTGCGCTTGAGGGGAGCCCAGACCAGCCACAGAACAGACGCAGAGATTGCGAAAGCCGCAGCCAAAAGTTCGTTCGGAGGTGCGGGTGGGATGGCAGGCATGAGGGGGTTTTGCATGCCTCCGGGCAAACCACAAAGTGCCGGCCGTAATTCCACATATCTTATCCACCCACATGCAGCCTTTTTATTCAAAGATCATTCGAGCAAATCAAGTGGCGCTCTTGCCCTTCTTGTCGCATGTACCCTTGCATTCGTACCCTCCTGCTCGCTGGAAGACAATGTTGCTTCAAACTGGTCCGTTTGGTGGGTTGCATGTTAGTGGACGGGAGGGATTCTGTACCTGAACACCTTTGCGGGGACTGAGTGGTAAACAAGTAATCCAGACATGTTGGACCCAATCCTCTCAGGAAGCGGGATCCCCATCCAAGTGTGACACTCTATGTAAGATAGTCAAGGTGGTTGATGTCCAAGTATCCATCTAAGAGAAACGGCACCCGTTTCTCTCGCGTCGCAGGTTGGGTTCACCAAATTTGGGGCAACTCGCCTAGCACCTATGTTGAGTTTTGTGCCCATTGTGAGCCCCAGACCCATACTCCCAGACCTGCAGCGCAGAGCCCTCTTTTTGATTGATACCAGCTGCGTCCGCATTTTCACATGAATTTCCACGAGGGCCTTTGGAAATGCTCGGCTTGGTGCTTTGGTTTGGTGAGTCCTGAAATTTGTCCAGCGAAGTATACGAGGCAAGCCGAGCTGCAGAATGCGAGTTCAGGGATGACCACTTCTTAGTTGGATTTTCATCGAGTCCAACTCCAAAACACGTAACTTTCTGGCACTTCTTTCCGTAGAGCCACCTTTCCTGGGGCGGTGGAGGGCGGCTGGGGTTGAACGTCCCAGGCTGCGAGCTGTGGCGCGCGGGCCGCGACATGGCGCTGGCCTCTGGGTCTGTGGCTCGCCTCTGGGTCTGTGGCTTCCCTTGTGGTTTCCGATTGGTGTCTGATTGATGTTTTTTTTTTTTTTTTTTTCTCAGGCATGTGTCCAGTGGTTGTCAATGGACGCCAAAGGACAACCAGCATTTCTGGTGTCCCCTGAAGAAAGCACACCCTGCACCTTCTTTCCAGCAATCATGAGAGTGGACAGCTTGAACAAAGTTTCTCAAGGCAACAAAAAGGACAGCCTTTGGCCTAAGCTCTGGCTGTCCCAGTCCTTTGTCCTTTCTATGTCTTCCACTAGCTGTTGGCAGTTGCCCCACGCATACAGGAACCTTGCATACTTCCATTTGCTGAAGCGAAGATGTTTTTCAATCTTCCGCTCTTTGCATTGAAGGAAATCGATTTCACTACTGGTGAATTTTCTTATTTTTTCCAGTGGACGGCAAAAGCACATGGAGGTTAGTGGGTTGCTTCCCACCCCCAACCACTTCCGGGGTGCTGGTCCTGTCATGTTTTTTTTTGGATTTGGGGGTTCCCCTGCCAAATCAGTTGTTGTTTTGTTTGAGGGGCGCTCCCTATCAAACCAGATGCACCTCAAAGTTTGTGTGCGTTTTTGTTTGACCCCATGAAATCCATTTCCCCACGAGGAAAGGCGCCCTTGTTCGGCCGGCCCGCGAAAATTTCAGGTCTCCCGCGGGGAGATCTCGGCCATCTTCGCGGAGGAGGAGGAGATAGGGAGTGCCACGTCGCATCGGGCTCAGATGGAAGGAGAAAGTTTAGGGTTCAGCAGATTCCTAGGTTCTGCTCTGCTGTGTGTTTCCTGGTGGTTTGCTCAGACGCCAAGTGCAGCCCTTTGGTCCATTTCCGAGGTTAGAACATACCAGCACAACTGTACCGGTTTTCCCAATGGGGGCATTTGCTACACATGGATGGGTGGCTCGTCTTTCTTTGCAGGTACGTTTTTTTGTGTTTGCGTTTTTCAAGGGAAACCACAAGGAACACCTTAGTTTGTTTTGTCCCCTAAAGGAAAGACGCGCCAACCAGCACCCCACCAACCACTGCTTTTTGAACCGTCCGTGGGATGTTTGACATGGGAAAAGCGGTTGTTGGGGGGGGTAATGTTAACCCCGGATTAATAAACCCCTGCTTATTAGTGTGGGGGTGTTCCCCTCCAACAGTGATAAATCCCCACTAAAACCAGGGACACCCCCATGTGAATAAACAGGGGTATAGAATAATTCGGGGTCAACATGGCTGGCAATTGCTCTTGAACCAGGTCGCACCTACCCACGGTGCTGCAGCATGGCGGTGAGGCCTTGCAGGCGCCAGCGAGTCGGTTGTGGTGGGTGCATGTTTGATTGGCTTCGGGGACGCCCAGAACTTGTGGTTTTCCTCGGTTTCCTTTGGGCTTCCCCTTGAAACCATCCAGAAACCCTCCAAGATGGACACACCCATTTCCCCCAGCGCCCCAAGGAAGCTCACTTTAAGTTGGCAGAAATTGCTTTTGTGAAGCCAAAAGCGCGCAGACGTAGGCACCCGGGCGGGAGAGCCAGGGAGCCAGTGAACAGCAGGAGCTCATCTGAGCCAATGACCGCCATTTTGTTTTTTTGAACCCCCGAAGCGCTCCACGTCCCAGCCTGCCCGCCGAAACAAGCCAACCCCAACACTCAATCTCCCCCAACAGAGACAAACACGCATACACGTCGGTATTACCGGACCCCACCAACCCTGAATTGGACGTCCAACCTACTTAGCAGGTTGTGGCGCAGGTCAAAAGCGAAGCTGGTGCACTTGTAAGTTCACTGTTATTGGCATGTCATGGTTTGGTCCTACTCAGGTTTGGCGCGGGCATGGCTGCACAAAAGAAACAAGCCAAGGATGGGAAATATATCACCATTTTGACTATCCCATAGCGAGCTCACCAATTCGGGGGGGACAAGCTTACCATGATGCAGGTCCTCCTTTTTTCAGGATCCATGTCTTTCTTGAGGTGTTTGCCTAAAATTCATTGTGAACCTTGCGGTTTTCTCATTGTTGGAATTGGTTCCCGGTACATTGGGCCCAACCCGAGTAGGGGGGCTTCGCTCAGCCCTAGGCCACTTAACAGCTGCCAAGGTAATTTCTAGTGCACACGGAGAATCTTCGCAAAATGTTGAAGAGAAGTACTCCGCCCCCCCCCCTTCCCCGCACCCCCATTCGAATCGAGGACACCAAAAGGAAACCAACAAGAATCCAAAAACAAACCCAGAAAGGAAGCCCAAAAAAAACAACAGCAGTAACAAGCCCAGAAAGCAAGCCCAAAGTAAGCCAAAAGCCATCCCAGAAAGGAACAAAGGAACCTGAAGACAACCAACTCATTTGGCCATGGGTCAAAAGCCCATACCCCCAGTGAACATCCCAATCCCCACTAAAATAGGTTCTAAAGTGAGTGGTGAATTCACCTACCCCCAAATGGGATCCCATTGGTTTTGACTCATGGCTATATGTATGTGTGGCTTTGTTTTGTGCACTTGTATATATATATATATATACATACATACCTAGAGTCTCCTTCTGACCCCACCTTTGGTTTTGACCCCCGCGCAAATGAGAAACATCCAACCGACCGCAAAAAAGCAGGAGGCGGGGGGTGCGCTGCTGGATGGGCGCTGGCGCTTAGCCTGGCAGCGATTGGAGCGGGCGCAAGGCACCGGCCAGGAGTACTGGCCCTGCCAAGGCCCGCGTTTCTTTCATTGCAAAGCTGGTGGTTCGCGAATCAAAAGCAATTCTTTTCAAGGGAGGGTCTTCGTTTTCCATGATTTTTGCCGAACCTTTGGCTTTTTGGTAGCATAGAAATACGACAAAACACATTTGTTTTCCCAGAGCTTCTGTGTTGTTTGTTTGTTTTATCTACTTATTATATTGTTGTTGTTTGGGAGGAGTTCTTTGAGTTTTAGCTTGTTGTTCCCAGAAGTTTTGTTCAAGGTACCCCCATTGGTGGTTTGGATTGGTGGGAACTGGGGACTTGAACCCCACTGTTCTTGTAGAGGGAAAGTTGGAAACCCGTCCTTACCCTCCAAACTACCAATTCAAGCCACCAAGTGGAGGGAAGCTGATGTGTGTTTTTTGGTTTGTCGAACCGGTTTTTTTCGTGCCTATCCTTGCGGTTTGCGGTTAAGTTTGTTGTGTTTTAACAAATGTGTTTGGCTTCTTGGTCTTCCATGATTTTCCCTTTGAACCAACAACTTCACTGTTGCAGGATATGACCATATTTGGGGGGTGCCCCTTCACACATTCCCATGGCGTGGTTTCTTCGCGGTTGGGCAAAAAGGAGACCCGACCAAGCACGGTTGGGCAAAATCTGTCTTGCTGTGCCAGGCCAACTTTGGCCAGCCAAGTGGTTTCTAGTTTGATTCAGGTGGTGGTGCATGGGTCGAGTTCCAGAAGGGTTCCGATGATCCATTGGGCAAGGCCTGGGCAAACCTTCCGGCAGCTCGAAGAAATACAAGGTCTGTCAACCCCTTGTGGACTCCGGGCGGCTCAACGCAAAGCAGAGCAACTTTGAGACCTCAGAATGTTCACTTCAGGGCCCTGAGCCGCTCTAAACCACCCCAGTGCTTTTTGGGCCCACCCCTCGGCTCTTCAAGCAAAAAAAGAGGAATCCCAGACCCACCCCCCCAGCTCTACAAGCTCAAAATGGAAGCATCCAAGACTTCCATTTGCTGAATATGTTTTATTTTCCCTTGTCTGGTTTAAAAGGAGTTGATCACTACTGGACATATTTTTTTATTTCCCCCCCAGGGGTCTTCACCAAATGGCAGCAAGCACACATGGAAGCATCCAAGCCAGGTCTCAACGGCCTGGTGGACCTCGTCTTCTCCATGGCCGAAATGCCGTCGATGCCATCCGCTCTGCGGACCTGGGGCGCCGCGCAGTCCTTGGAGCACCTGGCCGAAGGCGCGCCTCGAGCCGGGGTTCAAAGAAAATTTCCCCTCGAGCCGCGGGGTATACATGGTTGTCGTTGGGAAACAGTTTTCCAATTTTTGCTGGTTGTGGTTTCGTGGTGGAAATCCAACCACTTAACTGCTAAAATTTGTTTTTTGTGGCTCCCCTTTCAACGTCAACCGAGTTACGCATTTGTTCAGAGCCGAGCAAAAGGTTTTCACCTGTTGGATTCCCAATGGGTTTTGGGAAACCAATGTGGCTTTCCCATTTTGGTCCCAAAAGGTGAACCGTGTAGTTCCAGGTCCGTTGGGCAACTGAGTATAGCCAGGGTTGTGAGGCAGCTACCCGCTACCCACAAATAACTCCAGCTATTGAAATAGTCCAGACACATGGTGGGATCACAAGGATTTAATCCAACCACTTCGGTGAGACCAGGGAATTTCTCCCCCTTATGTGCTGGTTTAGTCTTTGGGAAGCCCACTTACCTCGATTGTAGCCCAGTATGCTCAACTTGCCCAACGGGAATCGACCGGATCTGACCTTTTGGAACTTTCCCATGGTCCGTTTTTAGTGGTGCCAAAAGGTTAACCTGACCCTTTTCTGGGTCCTTTGGGCTGAGCAACGCGACTTAGTTCTTAGTTAAGCACCCAACCCCAGTCTAGTGATCACCGTTTACGTCCTTTGGGTCTTTTGGGCATGTGAGCGCAGGGTTTTCGCCCCTTTTGAGGGGCGAACGTGGAATTGGAGAGTGGCTGTGTTCTTGTGTTTCTAGATTAAGCCTGGACGGATGGTTTTTGAACGTACCGTGTTGGCTTTTTGACATTAAAATCCCACGAAGGTGGCTTCCTGTTCTCTGTCCTTGTGCTTGGGTTCCCCTTTTCTACCAGGGTGCGTGTTCAAAGGTTGTCAAAGTTCGAATGCCAGGCGACACCCAGTTCATGTCTCAGGGCATCCGCATCCATTGAGAGGGTCCTTTGTTTACAATCCTTTTGGGGGGGGTAAAGTCAAAGCATTATACATCAGGGTTGTGGAATCAAGGGTTTATTCCCACTTCTGTGATACAAGGGAATCTCCCCCTGCATATGGGATCTTAGTCTTTGGGAAGCCCTTTTTTGTTGTATCACAGAAGTGGATTCCATTTCCCACAACCCTGTTATACATTTTTTGGGCGGGGGATTTCAGAAACCAAAGGGGATTGTCCAGTGAGGTGCGATTCGGGATGCGGCTCGCGCGAAAGTTTTTGCCTTCTTTTCTCGGAGGCTTAGACTCAGCAATCGATGCCATCGACCACAACTTCCAGATCCAGCCACCTGGCATCGGCCGTATGGGTGGCTCATGGATTCGGACCCAAAAATGGCTTTGGTTTCGTTTGGTTTCCCTCTCCCCAAAAGGGTTCATTCTTGAAGGGGTTGGGTACAATTGGTTGAGACTGGCGTTTTCCACTTCTTCCTTACCTGCAAAATAGATCCAACATCCCGGAAACCAGCATATTTCACTCGTGAAGGCCGCATAGGGGATCCAGTTCTTTTTAAGGGATTGGACGTAGTAGTTCCCCAGATGAATGGGACACCTTCTTTTTGTTTTAGTCAACCAGTGGTTATCAAGGGTCTACTGCGTTTGGATCTTTAATTGGGAGCCAAGGGGAAGTGTAGTGTATGATTGTCCAGTCCCCTTAATTTTACACGCCAAACTACCAGCCCCCCAAACGCATCCATGCGCGGAAATTTGGGATTGGTGTGTTTGAAAGTTTGAGGGGTGGTAGGAACAGATTGCGGGGTTCCTCAACGGATACATCTCACATCCTAAGTTCCTGGATTCTGTTTCGGTGGCAGATGCAAAGTTTGGTTACTTTCTTTCGGGCCATCCACTCAGGAAATGAGACATCCGAACCGAAACCGCCTGCTTTGCCGCCCACGCGGGTTCCTCTAAATCAAGCTTCCATAGTGATCCTTGAGTCTCAAGGATGTCAGGATCTATTAGGAGTTCTGGTCAGGGACATGGTAAAGGGTACACCCAAAACCGCCGGGGGGGTTCCTCTACATCAAGATTCCACCTAGACTCTCCATGACCCTTAAAAAATGGTGTCATTGCCCAAAAAATCCGGGGTCACCCCGGTTTCTAGGGGTGGAGACTCCACCCCGGTTTCTAGGGGTGGAGACTCCAGGCAGCCCTCCGCACCCGGCAAGCAAGCTCTTTCCAGGTATCCGCACCGGGAGCGGGCGGAGGCGTTGCTGGTCACGGCCACTGAGACTTTGAGGGACGCGGCCGTCATTTTTGACGGAGGCTGGCCATGGCTTTCCAGTTGCCCAGTGGTGCCCATGTTTCCTTCTTCTTTTTGGGGGGGAGGGTTCCCCTACTACAATAGACTACAGAAAAACATGTAACTACTCTTAATTATTCTAACCTCTCTACTGGAGGACCTGGTTCCCCTTTAAAGTCAACCAACCACAAAAGGATGCCGTTTTTTTTTTTTAATATGGCATGGCCCTGGGCATCTGAGGCTTTGAACGTGATGCGAGGGATGTGGGAAGAGAGACCCATCCCAGCCCTTCCACGGCGAATCGGGAACTGCATGTCTTGTATCATCTCCACTCACCAGCCAGCTAAAAGTTGATTTGCTACGAAGAGTGGAGAGGGATCCAGCCTCTCTTGTGTGCATTGGGCTTTATGGAGAGCCTATAATTGCCCGCCTTTTTTTAATACAAAAGGGTACCCCCCCCCCCAAAAAAAAAAAAACAGGAAAATTAAAGAAAAACACAAAGTTCATTGACCCTTTGAATAACGTCAAGGTGGGGACTTGTGCCAAACCACGTTTGACAGGACTCGGGAATCGCTCATTTGCGCCCCCCCAGGTTGCTTGTGTGGGGGTTCTGTGCCTCCGCTTTTGGAGTCGACATATTTGCCCGAAGTATTGAGAGGGACAAACCATCGGGCCTCTATGTTCAGTTTTTTTTTCCGCCCGCATTGGCGAGGCTACGGTTGATTTGCTGGTTCGTACACAGATTGTATTCAATCCCTGTTTTTCACACATGGGGGTGTCTTTTTTTACTGGACCCCTCCAAAATGGTGTTGTTTCCTTTTGGTTGCCCTTTAACAACTACCAAGGTTGGGGGTACCAAACAAAAGGCAGACCCATGGGAAGAACCAAGAAGGTCCATGGATTTGGGCGCTTCTGACCGCCCACCCCCCCCCCCTTTCCTTGGCTTCCAATTGGGCACCGCGGTTGGTTTGACATCAGCGTTTTGAAATGAAGTCCAAATCTCACGTCCCGAGTACCTGGTTTTTGTTCTTTTTCCTTGGGCTTTGGGTTGGGTTTGGACTTTTTTGTGTGGCGAATAACAGCGTTTGGCACATCCACTCAGGAAGTGAGACATTCTACTGCGTGGCTGGCCTTTGGAGGGCTCTTAGCGCCTTACTACGAAGGGCCGAATTAATTACAATGACGTTGTTGGGTACCCCTGGAAGTGCAATGACGTCATGATTCTTACCTCTTAAAAACACAACTTTTACCAACTTTCTGGGTAACATGGGCTATATGTCTGTAAAAGATGAACTTCCCCAGGGCTTGGAGTTTTAAGGGGTAAGGATGATATCCTCATTGTTCGTCAGTTTTGGATTGCCCATTGACCCTGCACGGGTAGAACATGTTTTGCTACCCGGTTGATTTCCGGGACGGGCTCCCAGGTCCGAGCACGGCTTCTGACCAATGAACGACAGCCATGCCGTTTTTTTTTTTTTTTTTAATATTGTGAGGAACAAGGGAAACCCTAATACAACCTGCCCAAAGGTTCAGCGGCACGCTTCAGGTCCCGCTTTTCTTGAGTTTCCCGCCAGAACCCAGAAAGAATTGGTGCCCTTTTGCTTCCGTTCCAGTCTGCGTTGCGGATACCTGTCGGCAATTTGGGGGGTCCAGCTCAGTTTCTCGGCAAAGAAAACTTCGGCCACGCTGCAGGCGACTTCTTTTTGCCCCGAGACCCTCGGAAAGTCGGCGCCTGCCTAAGACCGAGCCAGAGACGGACGCTTTGCGCTTGGTTTTTTGAAATTGGACCCAACTCGGGCAACCCTTTGGGTGGATTGGGATGTGTGATTTGAAGCCATGGTTCGCGTAGGGGGGCCTTTTCGGAACACCTCACCACCCATCAGAGCTGGAGGACTTGGACAGGGAGAAGGCCACAGGGGAAGGGAGCAGAGCGGGGAGAAGGGCGTTGCACCATTGTTTGGGGGGGCGTGGCCACTTTTTGGATGCAAGGAAATGCAAAAGGAAAGCAAGCATTCGGAAAGGCCCTTGATCTCAGGAAGTGCTGCTCCTTCAAAGTGGGTCATGGAACCTAACATGGGCCCCCCCACCCCTCCGCAACGCCCCAAGCACATCTCCAGTGGGTCTGGGAATGTGGCACTCAGGCATGCACTTCCATGATGACGATGGCGACTTTTGGGAGGAGGACCGCCCGTTTTTCGGGCTTCATTTCTGCGACTTGACACTTTCAGGTCCACGCAAATCCCAGCATGAAACATGGTCTTGCCCCCTTCCGCCTACCCCTTGGAAAATCCTTAAGGATTTGCAAGTTCTATCCAGGTCTTGGCACGGCGTTTTAACCAGATGTTGAATGAGCCCTGTGTTCTTCCGGAGGAATCCCACATTTGTTTTATGAATCTGTGCCGCAAGCGGAGTTAACCCTCACCAAACACCCCTTGCTTTTAATCGCTTCTTTTGGAGTCATCTCGAATATTTTTTGCACAGCTCACTTGGTGAGTTCTTGGACTTCAAGCTTTTTGAGCAGACCATTTTAGGGGCAAGCAAAAAGTTTGGTGACCTTTCCTGACCAATCCACTGGGGAAGTGAGACTGGCCTCTTTTTCCGAAAGAGATCTTCCACATGCACAGAGCTCTTTGGTGAGAAGGCTAATGAAGTGACTGAACCTAGCCAGGACGACCTTGGGGATGTGAGCGATCCGTTGGAGCTACTGGGCCAGCAAGCGACGTTCAAAGGGAAGCTTTCAGGGAAGCTGGGTGTCTTTTTCGATTTATATGTTTCTTGGGGCATTTTGCTTGGATGTTAGGACTTTAACTTGTTGCCAACTAATGGGTTTTCCATTAAACAACTTGAAGTCAAACTTTTGGCAGGGCAGAACGCAACTGAGGATTGTCATGTTTCAGTCAGGATGGACTCAGATTTCGCCAGAGGCAACTCTGTTCCCCTTTTCAGCTTGGTCCTTGCCCCGTTTGCTCGCGCTCATCTCCGCAAGCAAGTTTGGCGGCCGTCACTTCCCGCAAGTACCAAATGATTGGAAGCGTCGCAACGTGGGCAGGGAGTTTGTGAGCAGCGTTTGGTTTGTCTTTCGGAACAACGTGTTGCAACTTTGCCCTTCAGTGTTGCCGAGCTTCTGAAAGATGAAACTCGGTTCGGGGAGGGGGGTGACTCCTGGAATTCCATTTGTGGTTTCATTTTCCCTTTCATGGAGAAGACTAGAAAAATGGAATCGGGGACCCCCCACCCACCTCCCCCCTGAAGGTAGGGGGGATTTGCCCGCAGATTATGTTTTTTTTTTTTTTGCGAACTCTTCGCTGGGCTCTTAGATAGCACCCCGCTTGACGTCCTGGTGTCCTGGTCTCCTTAAAAGAGATTCCCAGCGCGGCTAAAGATTATGCCGTAAGCATGTGAGCCACAAGGGAGCCAAGGTCATTCGGTGTCCTTTTTGGTGGGTTTGCCTAAGAAATAGAGGGCCCTGGCTTGCGTGGCGGTTCAATCAATTAAGGGGCCATCTATTTTGCCAAAAGGCCACCTGTGGATCCAAGGTCATTCCACGGTGTTACTTGTCACTGGGTTGCTATGGCTTGCTTTTCGGCTCCGAGTCTAAATGAGTCCGAGGGGGTCAAAGGCAGGGGTACGGGTGAGAGCCAAACCATTGTACACCAAAGTCTGTGTGAGTTCTGATTTGGGTATGTGTCGGTGTCCTTTTTGTTAAGGGTAAGGGAACCCACCAGGAAAACCGGAGCCATTTTGGGGGGTCCTCCTGAAATGACACCCATATGAAGCTTGGATCGTCAGGTACATCTCCGGAGACCTCGCTGCCACGCTGCGCATTCGCAACATCCAGAAGGAGCTCATCCGTGCCGCTGGGACGACGGACGCTAGGTTCGGGGACCCCGGCATTGGGCAAGGCATGGTTCAAGGAGCAACAGCTTGGCCATCTTTACTTTGTTGCATCTTGCTTGGATGTTAGGACTTTAACTTTTTGCCATCTGATGGGTTTTCCATTAAACCACTAAAAGTTAAAACTTTTAGCAGGGGAGCAGAAAGCAGCCGAGTTTAATGCAGGGGAACTTGCTTGATTAAATTAAGCAGTTCGTGTGTCTAAGGGTTTGTTGTTCCTTTCTTTTTTTCCATCGCACTTCAGACTCCCATTTGTTTCCGGGGCATTCTTGCAAGAGAAGAAATCCCGAGAGTGCTGAGGGAAAAAGATGGAACAAAGGGCATGATTGTGGATGTTTATCGGTTTGAGCATAGTTTTCTCCGATGCCAAGAGGTTGCCCTTAAAAGTGGCAGAGTAGTCATAGGGATGGGAATCCCATTTTGGTATCACACAGGATCCTATCCCACAACCGCACCTCTCCATTTTATGCATCCGTTGCAAATGCGCATTTGTTGAGGGTCCCCCTTTTTGGGGTTGCTGCAATGAGACGCATTTCACCGTTTTTTTTTGCCAAAAAGACACATCCACATGGACCTTGCACACATTTCCTGCACAAGAACCACCCCTTTGGCCAACCAACCCGCGCCATGCGCTCAGGATAGCGATGGCCCCGAGAGCCGTAAGAAGCTGCTGCATCGTGACTCGGCCTTCGGTTTTGCACATTGCCATGGCTAGGTGCGCCTTTTCCCGTTTTTTTTTCTCTGGGGGGGGGGGAAGTTCAACCCTACTAAAATAGACTGAAGAAAATGGTTGGTACCCCTATTCTAAACTCTCTGGAGGACCTAGACCATCAAAACCCGGGTAAGTGAAGGTTAGTAAGGGACGATCCCAGCCAGAACTAGCTAAACCCGGGTAAGTGAAGGTTAGTATGGGACGATCCCAACCAGAAATAGCTGCGGATATCCGCCTTCTTAGTTCTTTACATGGTGCTGGGTCGACCATTTTCGTACCGGGTTTTGATTGTGACTCAACTGGGGCTTCTCAGACAAAACGTGTTCATTTTCTGTCGGCTAAATATGAAGCATCAGAACACAGTTTCTCTCGCGTCATGGGGGGATTCTGGAAACCACTTGCAAGTATTTCCCCCAAACCGGGAAGTTTAGTCAGTAGTGAACAGGGTCGGACCAGCTTCAATCACGTTTCATGTTTGCTCGCATCACTGGAAACTCGGACCAGCATCCCTATGCCTCCCATGCTGAAAGCCTTGGGGTCGGGCGGGAGCTTTCCTCCAGTTGCGGGGTGGGGCTATCAGCTGGGCGTTCTGTCCGACGCTTGGACGGAAAGCATGGGCCTTGGAAGCGAGGCCTGGTGCGGGAGAACCACCCGGACCAGAACCCGGGGAAGGAGGAGGAAGTTCGGCCAGCGTGCCTGAGACTGCGCATAGCGCCAAGGGTTCCCGCCGTGAAGAAGAGGTGTCCTTGTCAGCTTCGTTTGAACATGTCGTTTTTGGGGGGTTGCCTCTTTTTGGCCTGGAATGCAGAAGGGAAACCCAAATTCTGATGTCCACCGAAGGGTCCGCTTGGACTTATTCAAAGTTCGCACCCAGGCAGGTTGCAGGCCGCCATTGCGCAGCACAAGCCACACTCAACCACTCCAATCTCATGCGCTTGTGTCCCTTGTTTCCAACAGGTTTCCCTGAGGTCTTCGCAGCAATCCTGAAATTCATCGGAACGAGCGTTGGGATCGGATGGACCCTGCCCCCGCGGAAAGAGCAATCCTGAAATACCCCGAAGTGAAATGAAGCATTCGTCAGATCAGGCAGACTGACTGACGCCAAGGTGTCCACTTTGCAAAGTTCGAGGGAGCACCGATGCTTCGGTTTCTGTGATTGAGCCTGCATTCTGAGCTGGTGAACTGTTACATGACAGAACACAGGACGTGTCCCCAGAGACCAGAGATTCTGCTTGTTGTATGATGTATGCTGCCCATCAAAATCTGTTTGCAACCAGGACAGGGCAAAATGTAACCGACCAACCTTTTTAACAATATGGTGTGTTTTACTTGCTGGTGCTCAGTAGAGAATGTGGGAATGAACGCAGGGATCCCCTTTGTGGAAACCACAAGGGATGGTTTACAGGGAACATGCCATTTCTCATTCCCTGCTGAGCAGCAGCAAGTCACATGTGACGGCTTGTCACTCAATTGCCCGACATTCCTTTGGTGCATTTTGCCCAGGGATGTTCGGACTTTAACTTTTTGCCAACTAATGAATTGGTTTTCCATTAAACCACTAACAGTTAAAACTTTCAGCAGGGGAGCAGATTTCGCAACCGACCTTCACTGCTCAGCACTCCCAAGGTTCGAGTACTGCCTCAGAATGCTGCGCCTCTGCAAAGAGAGCTGACACAAAAGCGGTGCACGGATCACAGCAACAAATCGGAGTGTTTGCTTTAGGGGACCCCCAAAATTGTGTTTTGTTCCCCTTGGCTTCCCTTTAAAACCACCCCAAAATGGGGTACCCTCAAAAAACGACACAGCCACATTTCTCCTATTTTCGAACCTGAGGGATTTCTCCAGAGAGCGAGAGATAGAGAGAGAGAGAGAGAAAGAAGCAGAACAAACAATAAATTGATTTTGGATCCGGAGGGCCCTAATCAGAAGAACCTCATAACATAGACGATTCCCTTTATTGCAGGAGAAGCTACCCTGATTAGTGTTGTTCTCCGCATGAAATTCCAAAGTTAGCATTAGAGTGAACATGCTGAAGGTGTGTATGCGTTTTTCATGATAACTTCGAGCTGAACATTACAGGGCTTGACTCCCATCATGTTAAGCCTTTGCTGTTTTAGCACACCTGCACCATGGTCTTGGGTGCTTTTCAGGAAAGATAAGCCATCCCATGTGAAGCAAAAAAGACGTAACATGACGCCAATTGCAACGAAGCGGGGTTGCGATGCTGTACAGCCCCAATAGTATGGAAGAACGCTTTAGACTGCGGGCACTTCTGTCGCAGCTCCCTAATCCTTGGCTCTTTTTGACATTGTTTGACGTTTTAATTGTTTCATTTGGTTCTGTTAATTTTGAGTGTGATCGTTTAGCTACCAAAATGTTGAGAAGCGCCTGTTGTTGTGACCTGTTTGTTTTCCCTAGGGGGGTGAAGTGTTTCACTTTCCTTTTTGGTTGCAAGGGAAGTGGACCCGGACCTGGAGCAGTGGAGACCCCTTTCACAATCCAAGGAATTGTTTCGCCGCCCCCAAAGCAGAGACGGGGTAGGTACTTCTTGTGTAGTTGTTGTAAAAAAGGTTACGGATATGCAGAATCTATATTAGGTATGTATGGCAAACACATAATATGGCAGTGACTTTTTTGAGGGGTCTGTAACAGAGCCGCGGCGGACAACTTCAGTTCGTAGTGAACGGCAAGCCTTGATCTGATGGGTCGAAGGCAAGCTCCGGAGTTTGGAGGGCCTCGGTTCCCAAGCCCATTGCCCTCTAAACGCGTGGCCAAGCCCAAAACGATGTGGTGCCCACATCAGCTCAGTGGCACTCTTTGGTCGAACTTTGCTTTGGTTCCTTACGCAGGTTCACTTGTTCTAATGTTAAACCCGGATTATTAAACCCTTTGTGAATTAATAGGGGGGTGTCCCCTTTTAGTGGGGATTCATCACTTTTGGAGGGAACACCCCCCCAAAAAAAAAGGACGGTTTATGAATCCTGGGTCAACATCACAGTGATTCTACAGTTGCCACTGGTTACAACCGGATTGCATTTCATGCCTGGCCAGGTTGCAGTGCTGGAGGCCAGGTTTGAGTGCTGGGATGGGTGAGATGAGGATGCACCGGACCCATGCGAGTTTTTATCGGGGTATGCTCTGGCATGGAGGGTTTATGACCAATGGTCTTCTTGTGGTCCGCAAGACGCCGCTCAACTTGAAGAATCCCAGCCACAGTCAGTAGGTCCGTGCGTGCGCGGCTTTATTAGGGAAGAGCTATGAGGGGGTGGCCCTGGTTTGGCATTTTGGGGGAGGGTTCCCCTACTAAAATCGACTACAGAAAAAGGGTGCCCTTATGCTAACCTCTCTGCTGGAGGACCTAGTTCTACAGTTACCACGTGTCCCTTTGTCAGACAAACACCCATTTGTTTTTTGCCAGCCTCGAACCATGCTTCTTGTTCCAAACGCTGGATTAAATCGCATGTTTGTCTGGCTCCCGTTCTGGAGGAGCATGTGCTCCAGAACGGGGCCGGTGGTTTGCTCGATTCGATGCCCGATGCTTTCGCGCCCAATATGTTCAGGCAACACCTCGGCGATTTGGATCTTGCAGATTTGAAGCCCTGGCTCTTCATTCGAGCAACGAGATCATTCACTTGCAGTCAGCCATCCGAACTGGAAAGCTGATATCGGAAGAAGGCAGGTACTCTAAGGTTGCCGCCTTGTTGGTGAATCACACTTGGGCTGGAGCGCCAAGTTTCCAGTGCCTTTGTGTTCTCTTTGTGTTGCGTTTCTTGGTTTTGATTGTTTTGATTCCCTTAGCAAGAATCCCCACGGCTTTGGGATGTTTGTTTCCGGTACAGTTGCATTGCCATCTCTTGGATCCTGTCCATGCGACAGCTCTCCGATAGGAGCAGCACAAGCTGGCAGCAGAGCTCCGAAAGGCGTGGCTACGGTGCAACGGTGGAGTCCATGTGGTGAAATGAATATATATATATATATATTTCCCTGTTGGTCTTATGGGAATCGATTTCACTACTGGTAATATTGTCTCATTTTTTCCAGGGGACGAAAGCGCAAATGGAGGGGTGGAGTCCAAGCCATGGGTCGTTTTGATTGGGATCAGGGGATGGTTCCATCCCCTGAGCCTTGAGGGTACCATCCCTCCAATCGTCTGGTTTCTGAGAGGGGGTAGGACGAGTTTGCTTTTGGGGAAGCCCTGTCCACCAAATTTAGAGATGCTGAAAACCAGCTGGGTCACAATCAACACCTTTGGGTCACTCCAGCAGTGATGTAGCATGGGGAAGGCGCAAATCGCTGCTCCGCCCATGGAACCCAACGGGCTTTCCTGAAGTGGATTCAACACGCCTGGGAAGGCAATTTCTTTAGTGTTTGGCCAATCGTTGGTGAGGGGATGAGATAATTTGAGGTGTTTGCTCACGGAAAGCAGGGACATGCTCGGCAGGCCCAAGCAAGAGCACAGCTTTGTGTGCCATTTTCTGGGCATCAGAGTCACTTGCCTTTTTGATCCATTTGTAGTCAAGTCGCCCGAAGTTGGCCTTCTCTTTCCAGGTCCTTTAGTCATTGAGCACAGTACGATCCCACACGCATCAGGCTGTAGCGCAAGCGGAGCGACTCAGGAGCTGGGCGGTTGATCTGGATTGACGGTTTCGGGGGTGAGCAACTGCATGGGCTCCAGCCGAATTTGTGACGTGAGACACGGCAAGACCCATCAAAGTAAAGGTGCAGACACATCTGGGAGACTGTTTGCAACCTCACCAAGGGGTACACACGCTCGTCAATGAAAGGTTCTGGCATGTAGTCCGACTGTGATAAAGCAATAAGGTGACGAGGAGTCTTGATTGGAACATCGGGTTCGGGGTCATCCATCCCTGGTTGCAACCCCGGCTTGTTCAATTGGACACGTGTCTGGCATATATCAGACTAGCATCTACATGGCTGCCTCAAGTTTGGGCCAACCCCCTATGAGCAACCTATGCAGTTGTTTTTCCCGAAGAAAGCCTACACTTTGCCAGACTTCTCCAAGACCAAACTCCTAAACCTTTTAAAGTCTTTTTGATGCCTCAATTTAGCTCTGTTGAGCAGGGTAAGTAGCCCATTCCAAATGTCCAAACGGAAGCCCAAAGGGGATTACGCCGAGAAACAGGAAACGCCCGCACATTGCCGCAAACCGTGCGCAAAAAAAAGGGGCAAACGCCCGCAAAAACAAAAAAGCACAAAAACACACAAAATGCCTAAAACGCCTACAACGCCTCGATAACCAGAACGCCTAGGAATTCCTCGGCATTGGAATCTCCAGGGAGGCGTGATCGTATTTAGGGTTTTTTGCTTGGTTTTGTGGTCAAAGAGAGAATCGATTGTTGCTCATTTGTTCGTCCCTGAAAAAGGGAAGACACCTACCTGCTGCAAAATTGAAGCTTGGAAAGTGAACTGCGACAGCGTATATGGGCAGGGCGTTGCTCTGCACGCAACGTAACCCCTTGCAAAATGGGCCACAACCTCCCCCGCCCCTGGGAAGGATGGGTGCCAAATACCTCAGGACAAGTCGAGACCACGCGTTTGCGGCAATTTTCGTGCGTTTGCGGTCAAACCAGGGTCAATGCCGAGAATTACTAGGACTTCCTTGACGCGGGTCTATCGATACCTCGAGGATCGAGAGGCAGTCGGAGCTGAAGCTCCTCGAAGTGCAGGCCTCCGCCTGGCGGAGGGCGCGTCTGAGTGAGCGGATGGCTTGTCTCTGCGGTGTTACGCATCTTGGTGGCTCCCAACCATCCGAGCGTTTTAGGTGTTTTTTTCGGGAAGAGTTTAAACTTTTGGCAGGGAATCTGAGGGCAGGCCAGTGCTGGTTTCCGTTGTTCAGTTGGTACCGAGCACGGAGCCTCCAAAAAAAAGACGACGGCCATATCGGTTCCCCTCAAATGCCAACCTGGACCAGAAGTTTGGGTTTTCTTTGGGGAAACCTCCAATTCGTGGGAGCATGTCACTTTTTGAAACCAATGGGCATGGTGGTACCTGAATACCTGAGAACCCAATTGGTTGGTTTCCTCTGAAGCTTCCCTTTGAGAAGCAACCTTAAGAGGCTCCCCCCCAAGAAAAGACAATCCCATCGCGGGACTTTTTTGAGTCTCGAGGCACCCTTTGTAACCTTATGTTGAAGGAAGACCAAAGGGAGGCCGCACTCATTTTTGGAGGGGTCTCTATTTTAAGGCACATCCGTCCAGGGAAGGGGGGAGGAAACCGAGCACAGCGGATGTCACATGTCCACCCGCTGATTTTAGCTTGGCTTCCACGTTTTTTTTTTACTATGAAAGTCACCCCCTAAATGGTGCAGGGAAGCCACCAACCAGTTGGGCACAACAAATGACCACAGTGGATGTCCAACCCCCAAAAAGGAAGCCTTTTTCACAGCGGATCTCGCCAAATGTGTTTTGGCTGGGCATGTTTGCGATGCCGGGTGGCACCCTTTGATATGGTTTCTTCGGTTCTCTTGAATCCGTCAGGTGGGGTGATTTGGATTAATCGTTGCGATTTGAATCCCTGGCTGTTGTAGAGGTTAAATGAGAACACCTCCAAAGCTCAATTTGGGGAGCTGAGGGTCTCGGTGGTTCCAAGGCCTGGTTGGAACCCATCAAGAGCCCTGTCGCCACCTAGGGCCGAGCCAGGGCTAAGATGTTCCTT